CATTATTATTACTATTTACTACATATCAAATAAACGAATACAAATTAAATTAATCGGATTATATGAGTACCCGATTAATTAGATCAATAATCAAATAACCATAAATTCAAATTAGTCCGGTTCGTAAAATGTTTAAATAATTTCAAATGATATAATAATATAATATATACCTATGATGGATATTATAAAAAATATGTCTAGGTTGTTTGGATGTGTTTTAATATTATATACTATACCTACATAATGCCTATAAATAAAATAGTATAATTAGGTAATAGGTATGCTTATACTTACCAAGTGAATTATAAAACCAATATTGTAGTGTTCACTGCTAGTGCCTACTATATACACAATATATCCGTAGTATTTTATTTATACTATGCCTATAATAATTATATTTAATATTTATCCCATTTTATTTTTAAAATGTTTTTATGTGTATAAATAATAGTTATCGAATACGGTTAATCGTATAAGTATGCGCTAGTCTAACTCTGATTATAGTAATACATAGTTAATACGTTTTTCTAGGTATTACATTGCTTAGACTTAATACATGACCATCACGCGTCAAAGGTTTGTCTTTTCAATCTGTRAAACGTTTGTAACGCAAAATATGGTTTTATTTTATTCTCTGGTACCTACATAAGCCACCTGCAGTAGGCATTGCACTTACTCGTATATACATTACACTAGCCAGCTATAAAATTGTTTGAAAATCCGTTTTATGTATAATAATCTGTACGTATATATAACTAGGTATGCGTTAATATTTAAAATATTTAAAATATGTAAACCACACTAATCCGTTTCACTCGGAAATTGCTTACCCGCTATACGTTCACTTTCAAACGCCCTGTGGAGGTAGATCGATGTTCATTGTTATTTATTCGCGTCACGAACACTATTACGTAAATAGACGATTTTGTTGGTGTAGATCGTGAATTTCTGATGGCTGATGCACTTTCAACGTACCGTGGACCGTGATGTATTATATTGCGTTCGACAATAACGCGTTAGGTCGTCATCGTAATTGCTGCAATAATAATCGTTGAAGGTACCAAATATTACAATATTGAATTCAAATCGCGTACTCACGCATAATCGTGCTCGCAGACGAAAATTGAGCTCTTATAGTTGGTTTAAACTGCAGTGTCGGGCGAAGAAGAGCAATGAAATTCGACTCGGAAAAATGTTGTCTTTAGTTTTAGGTATAATAATTACTATTGACTTATTGACTATATATATAGGTATTATAATTTCTAGACTATAGTAGGATACGTTAACTACCGCCACCGTCGGATAATTTACAATAAGGAATAAGGATACTCTATTGGTGTGTAAGATGAACAATAAATTATAGGTCCTTTATAGTTTATTAGGTTAACATCTATTCCTAGAAATCGTAGTTTTTTAAAGATTTAATTTACCGTTTTCAATTGCAGTTATAATTTGGTTTACATTTGGTATCACCATGACGAAAATTATTATTGTTTAACTTTAATACACATAAAAACTGCGGCGTGTTTAAATACACTTGGTCGTCTTATTTTTTCTCCGACATTTAAGAAGGAGTTAATTGGCGTGCACAGTATTTTGTGTCTATGTATAATTGTATATAGTGCTGCATATATTTTTAGCAGGCTCGATAAAACAATAAGTAGCATACTTATTATCATTTACCGTGGTCGTAGTCATACTACATTGTCAAGGGAGGGGCTGAATGAGCAATAGCAATTTTAAGAGAGGGTATTGTTACGATGTAGTTTACCAGTTTATCAAGAAAAGTGAAAATCCGTACCATTATGTACCCAGCCACCCAGGTGTGGTGATATTTTTGGATCTATAGGGGGAGGGGGCGTAAATTCCAAGTAATGATCACATTCGCCCACTTTGGCTAAAGCCCTGCTTATTATTACTTAATTATTTACAAGATATTACTATTAAGTCTTTCATTATAACATAGACAAAAAAAAATGAAGGTTCTCAATCATTCGATATTTTGAGTGTATAATATTTACCTAGTATAGAATGATGTTTTTTTTTTTATATTGATCAAAGTACATCGACAACTAGGCCATTAGTAAAAGAAATTTTTTTTTGTTACATTTTTTGTATTCTAAGTATAAATTTTCTACATTAAATTAAATTGTACAATTCTGTTTTTTTAAAGAATAAAATTAAGTTTTTTACATCCTGTGGGTTTGGTCCAAGTGCTTGATAGATTTGTTCGRATATGTGAAATTGATTTCGATACTGGTTGTATTTTTGACATTCAGTGATGATGTGGTTGGCGGTTAAAAGTACGCTGTATGRCTCACATAGTGGAGGATCGTCTTTACTCATCAAGTAGCTGTGTGTTAAGTGTGTGTGTGACCAATTCGGAGGCGGTTTATTATGGTTTCATCTTTTCTACTGAGTTCAGGATTTTTCCATGGGTTTATATTATTTTTTATCTTGTTGAGTTTGGTGTTGGGTTTTCGCCAGTGAGAGATCCATTTATTATTTGAGTGTAGGTTTATTTCGTTCTTTGCATCTGCGAATGTGATGGAATTTATGGTTGGGGGAATGATGTTTTATATTAATATTTAACATAATATTAGATATAAGTTATAAATTGGTTAGATTATACATCGCTATTAATGGGGGCTATGTCGCTGTGCTGGTTGAATGATTTTTGCCTGCAAATATAATAATGTGCAATACGGTTGTATATGTCATACATGTGGATACGTCCGTTGGTTTAAATCCCAGACATATATTAAACCTCCTCTGCATTAATACATAATTATATCATTTTTTCATTCGATCAAAATTAAATTCGTATTTTAAATTTAATGTAAATTAAATGTATTCAAAATTATTCATAATATTACGCAAGCTTTTTAAATAAATATTTATTGGACCACTAAATACAAAATTAATTCACAGGTACTCAGGTGTAGTGAAATATTGTTTTTTTTTTTTTATAAATACATTGCTAGGGCATACGGGTGATACCTATAAGGCTATAAATTAACTATAGATTGGAAATTAATTATAAGTATATTCTCCAAAGACACTATATAGTTTGTTAGTGCCAACATTTTTTTTTATATTTTAATATATGGATAATTTATACGCAAATTTATTTCGTGAATATTATATTTTATACCATGACGATCTACACAATATAATATTATAATTATATGTGCCAAACGTGCTCATCTATTCACGTAATTTTTCAAATTCGTGATCGAGTAGCCACAATCCACGTGCCTTTCATTTTTTTCAATTATTCTGTTATAATGAGAACTCGAACTTTTTTAATTTTTCATTGACAATCTGTAAGGAAATCTTTTGATCGAATTTTTATTTGAAGATGAATTTATTGTATACTTATCATTGTATTCTGTCCTTATTGACGGACTGTAACATTTTTCTGCAAAGGTCTAATTGACTTATACAGTTGGCAATACGTCAATACGTGTGTGGTTTACATTTTAGATTTCGATGAATGTATTGATTTTACCGTGATGTGTTTTTTTTTGTGTCTGTCATCACATTTTGGGGCAGTAAAAATGCTTCAATTTTCGACTTCAGTACCTTTTTAGATAAGAAAGTGAATCAAGTTGGTACTTTGGGGATCACAAGTGAAAAATTCTCAATATTTTTCTAAAGATAATCAAAGTAAAAATTAAGGAAAAAACGGGAATTTTCACCGAATGTTTATATAAGTATATTCCATCCACCATGCAATTTTCAAAAAATGTCGACTTAATTTGAACTATTTATAGGCATATTCAATTTTCGATCATTATTAGTTTTTTTAAATTACTATTGATAAAAATGTATTTATTAGGTAGAAATGCTTGAAAATTTAATACAAGGCTCCTAACATATTGTTACAATAGCAGTTGAAAAATAAAAGAAATACCTTGTCGTAATTTTTTTTTACAAGCATTCAAAGTTTGGATTTTGACAACATACGTAAAAATCACGAAAATTCGCAAATTATTTTAAGCTAGAAATTCATAAAAAAATTTCTTTTTAAATCTAAGATTTGAAAATTTTTAATAATTTATAATATATCCTAGACAGCTAAACCGTCTCCACTCAGAATCGTTTTTCTTATACAATGATATAATATCATTGGATCCAAATTTAATTCCATCCATCATTACAGTAACACACTTGTAACCTACTGTACAGCAGATGAGTGACATCCACGACTTACCCGCTTTTTATATTTAATATACCTTTTCTAAAGTAGAAGGTTGATAGTTTGCAAAGCTTTTCATTAAATAWGTCACAATTTCATTGAATTTATTTTATAATCAAATATCAATTACTATATTAAGGCAGTATAATTACCAACTGATAGTCTTTGGTTCCATCTCAAATAGTTAACAATATTTCAATTTTAATATATTATTTTAGAAAAYCCAWWATTTACAATTACATTGCTCTTTGGTAACTATAATAAGTAATAAATATTAACTATAATAAAATTGTAAAAAACGGTTGCTCTCCTATTTTTCTCCTTTATTAATTTATATATAAAAAGAAATTAAAAAATACCAAAATCTAAATTTGTAATACCTTTTGTTACCTACTAAATGTATTTAGTATAAATATTGTTCCACAATATTTGCGTCATCGATTATTTTATTTCTAAAGTTCTGCAGTAGTTATTATTCAACATAATATTAGTAAATAAGAGGTACCTCTATGGGAGTATAATTAAGAAACGGTTCGTGGTAGTGAATATAATTTGTAAAAGTTTTCCGGTCCTTGATTTAAGTTAAGAACGACTAATCTAAGAAGTATCCAGTGGCAATACAAACTATATAGTAAACGACGAAGTACAAACTTATATTTTTAAAATGAGTACTGAAATTGTTTACTCCAGTGAATTGTTGAGTGGATGATTTTTGAAGTGAGCGTGCTYGATGAATATAACGTTGTTTATTTACATAATATATTACGTATAATAACGTGTGCGCATTTTATTTTAACAGATGGATCATGAAAAATGATTCGGAGACGGGCTCACAGGTATGTTTCGGCGGCTCCAACAGTTCGGTGGGCTCGGTGAGCGGCGGCAGCAACAACAACATACACTGCAACAGCGACGGTATTTTGATGGGCGGCGGCGTTCGGGGGGACGGTGACGGTTGTGACGGAGAAACGAGCAGACCGATCGGTGGTTGCGTCGGGAAGTCCGGAATCGGATCGTCCTCGTCCGAACTTCCGTCCATCGTCGAGCGGAACGCCAGAATCATTAAATGGCTGTGGAACTGCCGGAAAGCCAACTCGCAGCAGACTTTATTGCCGTCGACGCCATCCTCGACTTAGAACAGTAGTGGACAAATAAACACACGAAAACCCAAATCCTCCTCCATCACCATCACTGTACCCACTGAGCGATCAGCTAACGGGTTTGATTCTGTCATAACTTAATATACTTATTATACTATAACAATAGGTACACTATAAAGTTATAACCTATCTATACTTATAAACTTATTATATCCACGACTTCAAATATAGTCGTAGTGAGACCGTGGTTTTCATATATAATATTCCATACTGCTATGTACCTAATTTGAATTTTACAATAATATTATATTCGTGATATTAGAAAAAAATTACTCTTACGGATTAACCGAGTACTTCCGTCTCATAACTTATTGACAATATATATATATATATGTATTATTATATAATATTAAAATATATTAAACTATATGAATACATTTTGAATTAAATATTATATATTTTATTTATTTATTTTAGATATTTCGAATTTAAGTACAATTTTCATGTATTGAAAAATTATTGTAGATTTTAATTATTATTATTGTTATTATTATTATTTATTATTGCTTAGTTTTTGGCTGGCATCAATATTATAATGGTATAGTTATTAATTTGTACACGTTTGTACGGCCTGATAATATAAATGTAATTACTATTTAGAATTATAGGATCAAATTATTCTAGTCTCACAAGTTGAATTTTATTATGTTATCGTATGTTATTATTGTGTGTATCGCAGGATATTACTGTGTGTTTTAATTTTTTTTTTTTTTAATAATTTATGATATTTCATTGTTGTGCGCGCGTATACTATGTTATAGTTAAATACGCAATAAACACATGACATATAATCTGCAGTGCTTGAATTGGAAATACAATTAGGAWGGGCCGGACAACAAAGTGTAAAAAAAATTGTGCGTGCCTGAAGATATTTTAAATATCTTATGGAATTGGATACCTATTGGAATTTATTAGAATTTAGAAGGGGAGGTACCTAAGCTAAAATATTTTTCGTAAAGGAAGTTTACTCGATAGCCTCTTTTCCCGCGATCCATCCAATTCAAGCATTGCGTATATATATAATATCATTGTACGACTTTAAAAAAATTATAATATACAATAATTGTTCTGATATATGTATTTTCCTTCGTGTAAACTATATTTTGATTCTTGTTAAAAATGTGTATGTGCATGTGTACTTATTATTCTGAATAATATATATGTACGATAGCAGCCGATGAATACTTACATCGGACGATATATGTATTTTTTCTTATACGCTGTTAACTGTTATACCTAACTGTTAGTTTTCCGCGGTCGATCCAATTTGATATATTATGCGAATATATTAAGTTCTTCGATACTGCGAATAGTGCAAATGTTTGGTGTGCGCCTGTGCCCCAAAAAATCGCATTTCAGACTTAGGTATTTGTGCTGGACTGTGGTTGAGACAGAGGGGAATATGCATTTTTAATATACGGTAGTTTGATTTATTTRTTTCAACTCTCAAGACCACAATAATCCACATAATGTATTATTAAATTGGAATAGTGCGCCACTATAATACTCGTGGCGTGCAGCAACTATGGTAGTTACATAATAAAAGTATCTACTTTTATTATACTTTATATTTTGTTCGATAATATGTATACAACTATACAAGTATACCTAATTATTCTTTAAGAGGGACCCGTATTTATCCCATGTTTTATTATATGGGACTAACTTTCGGAAACAGTACTCACAATATTGCTTTACCAGATRTTCACAATACACAGAGAAGAACTTTATATTATATAATACTATGTTGTAGCGTTTATTGATGTTTATATTTTTTCGATAACTTGACAATCTGAATCGTTTATTCGTAAAATTATTGAATAAAAAAAAAAAAAAAAACGTTATTACGTTTTATACGTATTACGTATTAGCCTTTATATTGGTACTGACACAGAACCACTTTTAAAATAATTTGAATAAGGTTTTGAATATATTTGAGATTTATAAAATTTAAATATATTTGAATACTTGTTGAAAGTATCTTAACTTTGGTCTCATGTCAGAATACCGTTGTTGGTTGTAGTGTAATAATAATAATATATTTAAAGTAGAAAAACGGTTTCGCGAAAAAAAATTAACTGTATAATATTCTGATTTACAATCATAACCCATGTGTTTATTATCTGTGTACTCATCGTGTACAYGAGTACCCGTTAAGGAAGAGAATATTTGATGGCATAACGTTTTCACATTTTTTTTTTTTTTTAGATACAATTAATATAAAAAAGTTACTATTGTTTTAAAATCAGTTATTTTTTATATTTATTGAACTTAAATGACTTGTTTGAGTATTAATGATATGAAAAAAAWATTCAATGACAAGAAAAATGTTGTCATACRTTTATAATATGAATGAGTAAATTGGGTTTCTTAAGGTGTCAACTGTATTATCTGAATGGTTATTTCTCTCACGTGAAACGATTTTGATTAAACAATTTATTTTATTGGCATATACTCTTAGAAATGATTAATACCACTTAGCACACTTCTTGAACATGCTGTGTCTGCACTACCAACTTGACCAAAATATTAAGCGGAGAATTATTGGAAAATTAGAAAACAAACACCGATGTCGTTGTCGTTTGGGTATTTGGTTTGTGAATTCCTGGCACTGAAAATCGATTCAAACACCGTGTAGGTATCCAAATGTTCTGTAATAATATTATTAAATTATTGTTATTGACCGAACGAGCTTTTAATAAATACGCGACACGCAAGTCATTACGAAATTGGTTGTTTATAATCATAAAATGATGACGATCGGGCGATTTCGAAGACAAAACCACACTATAACTATATATATTATTGCGAATACCTACTTTTTATATTAATGGGTATGTAAAACAACAATTAAAGAGGTGTGTTGTGCTGTCATTATAGGATGTGACATACAGGTCGATATRGCGATATAGCTAGGTGTCAGGGTAGCAGCCAGCTGGGGAGGAAATGAGRCCACTGCACCATACGATTATTATACGTCACCGCGCCAATTATAGCGTCATATTGAATTGCCGCCTTGTTCGACCAGAAAWTTCTACAGCGCCGTCATTAGAACCACATTGTTTTTTGTGCGTGTGTTTTATATGCAGACAGTATATTAATGTATCGGTTTGAAAATAATAATAATATTGTAGAAACTGATGAATTGCGTCGTGCCGCCGCAGATTATAATATAATACGCGAGTAAAAATTAATGAAAAAAGTTCTTGAACGGCGAACCTAACCTAACCTAACGATGGTTGACAATTTAATTGTTTTCTTTTCTCGTGCAGCATTATAAAGACATACATAATAATATATAATATAAATCATCGAAACGGCTTAGTAGCTTATGCCGTTTATATGGTTTGGCGTACACGTGGATAGATATTATTGGCCGTCGCCATAACACATCGACATTTAGACATGTATTTTCCGAAATTTAAAACAATACTTACCTTCTTTAAAAAAAAATACATTTTTAATAACCCATAAGCGCAAATCAATTTTATAAAAATGTAATACCCATAAGCATTTACAGTGATATACCTATATTGAAATTAGTTTAAAAAATCAGTAAAAAATAAAAATCATAATTTTGAATATTATTTTAAATTAGTTAAACAAGTATATCATAAATAAATATATTAAACTAATATAGTAATGAGAATTTTTTTATTTTTTTTTAGGTACCTAAAAATTAATTTTTAAGCCAACTGCCATCAAATATTCAAATTTTGAAATTTTTTTTCTTTATACAAGGTCCACATTTATGGATTGGAGATGACTATAGATTTACAATTTAGTTTTGTGCTTTTATCCCACTATAATACCAAGGTACGAAAGCGCAAATTTGTTTTACGCTTTTGAGTTATCGAAAAAAAGAACGATTTGCGCTTTCAGGTTTCACCTATATTTACTCGTCTGATGGATTAAAATGTAATTATAACATCGCGTACCTACCACATCTGTAAACACGCAATAATGATATACTTAATTAAATAATGCCCGAAGACTATCAAGCGATGCAGGTGTTTTCCGAGTTAAAGACGAATGATGCATTCTCGCGAGGAGGTATTATAATATTGTATATTATTATGGATAAATACACTATTGTGTATGAGAGTATGAGACAACACTACCACAATGGCACACGTACCTATTATAACTACTCCACCACAAAATTATACGACAACATGACGTAGTTAATATTAATTTCATACAATTAGTACCAAATACCCATCGAATTTCGTATTATTTTAGTGTATTTTATTGCACACGTAGACCATTTTAACGTGTAATTTGTGTTACAATGAACAAGCGTCTATTATAGTACTTATAAAATGTTGCAACTGATACTACCTATATGAGTTATATTATGTTTGTAGGCAAGCACTGCAGGTTATAAAAGACGATTAATAACCTATTTGAAAAATTATACACAACATAGTTATATGCACGCCATACTTGGAATATTTCGTAATCAATCTCAAGATGATGATTTACCTACCTAAACCTACTCATAATAATATAACATAATATTATTGTATAGTATTATACTTTTACATGTATAATTATAAGCGCCACCGTTGTTTGTGTAAGTAACTACATATAATAATATGGTGTAATTTAAATAACATTATGTCGTTGTATATTACGATGCATTTTTTTTTTAACGATAACGAATCGATAAATTATTAGAATTCATTTTTAATGTTTGTTTTTTTTTTTTTTTTACGACAATTTAAATACTTTCAATAAGCAGTTAGCAATAAAATAGATTTATATTGATGACTACTTAATAGTTGATTGGAAATTTTTTTATTAATTCTGGTGGTGTTATTCACCTTAAAATTATTATGATAATGAATACCAACTATACGATTCATCATTTTACGTAATAGCTATTATAGCCTATAATAAGTAGGTAGTAGTAGGTACTAACTATATCTACTCTCCTAATAAATTAAGTAAATTCATTAAAAGTGTTAACTAAAATAATAGGTATTGGGATAAATTAATATATATACTTTTATATCAATAGAGTGCTAAGCACACTGTGATTTTCAATACTATCATTGATTATAAATAGTATAGTATTTATAATCAATGATACTGTATATTACTATATCTGAATAAGTATCTATCCTAAAATGGAAACATTTGTTTTGTCTGCTTTGATATTCAACAAAAAAGGCGGTTTCTGGTAGGCGGTAGCAAATTAGAACTTGTTGGTAAATCGGGGAGGTGWAAGACTAATAGAACGAAATWACGGAAAAAACAGGTATATTTGTGATTGAATTAGATTTCGTCTCTGTTGGTTGATGTAATATCGTTATAACCGTTATTATAACAACTAAACAGCCGATTACATTGATTACAGGCTTCAGAGGCTTCTCACGGCTGTGACGAAATAGTATAATTTATACAACTACATAATTATTATGTATTTAATTGATTAATGAGTTTTTAATTCCCGATGGCATCAACATAGTCTCCGTTTTCTGATCCCTTGGCCAGTTCTTCCTCGTGCTCCTCATCCGGTTGCGATTCATGTTGATGTTGTTCCAGTTGAGCTCTGAGTTCGTCCCTGGTTTTTCGGAGCTCGGCTAGTTCAACAGCGGCGTTCTGGATCTGGGTCTTTAAGTCTACGATTTCTTCCATATCCGGGTTGTCCACGTAGATATTYCCCCTCACATATCTATAATAAAATAATCCGTGTCCAAACAATAAAAAACCGCATATGTTTAAATATTATCTTTTGAAGATTATTATTTACAGTTAACGNGAATATTGATATGGAATTTGATAGTTATTGGTTCTATGCCGATGATCTTGCTCCAAAGAGAAGAGCGCGCGTTGAATGTATTGGTATTTTAAAATGATTTGTTATTTTTTTTTTTTTTTTTTAATGCAGTGAACTATAATAATACGTAGTCTTACTCATTGACGAGATACACATGAAACCTACTATACAGGCACAGTAGAGCCACGTTTCGGTTTATTTTTATCTGATATCCTGACAAAATTATTACTTACATTGGTTATACATACATAATTATTTGTATTAGATATAATATTAATAGGTGATTAATAAGCAATTATTGCAATATTAGAATTTAAAAGTAGTTTTAAAGTTAACATATTATTTTACTGATTTTTGCCCAGAACTAAAGAGATGAGGTATACTTATGCTATTATTGCATAAATATTATTATACATTCATATGTAGTAATTATAGTAAACATCATAATAATTAGTAGGTACATACTTAAGTGTATTATACACTGTATAGTATAATATGTATATTGAAATAAAATTATAAAATTCTATTTAAATCATCTCTTATTTATAAAAACCGTTAGAAAATAAATCTTTAATGAAAATGTAAAATAACAAATGGAGTTCTACACTTCTGCGTAGGTATAGAACATTTTTTTTTTTACTTTTATTGAAAGAGATAAGAGACTTCAACAACTAAGGTTTTTAGCCTTGTGTGCATATTAAGTGTTACATTAATAATTAAAATTCAAAAGTTACAATGGTCTTAAAATACGAATACATGTTAGTTAAAAATTATTTACAATGTTAATTTGTGTGAGAAAATTTAAGATTTTTATGGTGTTGTCTTCATGGAGAGCTTCTTCTAATTTGTAGGGTATTCATAAGGTATTTCGGATGTTTTGAAGGTCTGGACAGTCTACGMTGATGTGTTGAATGGTTAGGTCTTCTTGGAATTTACCAATTAAAAAGCACTAAAGTACTTTTTGTGTRCATTTGAAAGTTTATATAATAGATACTTACAATTATATACGATTAAATAATTTGAATTTATATATTACAAAGTAGATACTGAAATTATTAAGTGTACTTTAAAACTCTAGCTGAAAATCCAATAAAAATGTTCATTATATAATACAATTGAATAACCTTGAATCTGTCCGAAAAAAAAAATTAGCTTTTAAAGAAACTAATTATTTTCTTCTATAATTAGTTCAATTTTTGTATTGGTAWTATTCTTGTTTGTGTTATACATTAATAACAAATATATGTATACCTACCTACTTATATAATCAATAACAAATAATTACTAATTTTCCTTTTGACATTTAATATATCGATTTTTTTAAACCAATTATTCGGTAATACAACTATAATTGACTACTTAAACCTACTTCATTAATTTTGGTTGTGAATTATTATAATATCTTATTTCTTATTATATTCTTATCTCTGATAAATTATTAACATCTATATTGCAGTTTAGTGCCACTAATACCCGACAAATTTAAGTTTCGAATAACAATATGACGGTCATTGACGAAGATTAAAATATATAATAGTAAAAATATTATTTTATTTAAATAGAAAWGGAAATGTGCGTATTGTTTACTTACTCGATGGGATCTATGGGTGGTTCTGGTTCGCTATACAACATGATAAGTACGTCGGTTAGTTTATCCAAAATACCATTTTGGTCCAGGTAGTTGAGGAATTCGTCCTTATCTTGTTCGCTGACCTAAAATCATTAATGTTTATATAATGTAGGCGTATAAATATTATAAGCACAGAATAGGTGAAATTTCACCTATTCTGTGTTATAAGTACGCCTTTTTTTTAAACAAGGAGCAAATATATTGGTAAAATAGAAATATTATCAATAACTTCAATAACTTGTTGTGCATGCTCACCGGGAATGAATTCATTTGATAGCAATACGATACACGTACAGAARTTTATGAAAATTATAAATACTAAACAGAGTATKTATACCATGCAGAGTCTGACAAAACATTTGAATATTAAACAGGTAGGTAAGCATGAAAATCAAAATATTAAATACTATTGTAATCATAATGTTGAAGAACGTAGGCTAGTGGCCAGTATCTGCAATATATTGTGTATATAGGCAACAAAATCATTTTTTTTTTGTTTTTAGTAAATACTTTATCTAAATAGGTGACTAAACAATTTTGATTTTTTAAACGTATATTTTGTTATAAACGATCATACAAGATAGGATAATAATATGTATATACGTATAATAAAGGAATCATTATTATCTATGCAGAGATTCCCAGACTGTGAGTGAATCGTGACCATCGCGTTGTAAAGAAGACATAATATTCTCTACATCGTGCTCGTGACATAGACGTGATTGATGGTTCGAATGAAATTTGGAAATGTAAWTTTTTTTAAGATTGCAATTAATAGTCTCCGGAATAGCTGTGAGGTATCTAAAATTGCATTTTTGACGCATGCGCGTARAGGTTATATTCARTCCGATCAGCAATTAACACCACGTCATTTAAACTTCAAAATCTTTTAAATAACATGCATTTTTGATCATCTATATTTCTGAAARTTGTAATTTGTCTGTTGCAAGTTTCAGAAATTCTATATATCTGTAGACTCTAACTAYAATTTAGGGATAAATATTATTTTAATACAATTTCATAAACAATTAATAATTTTATTTAGTGATTCTATGGTTGGTTATTAGTTACGCACTGTAAATTTCTTTCTTGATGCATGCTTGAAATATTTTGTGGTTCGATWGCWACACTAGTTATTTTAGCCTTTATTGCGTTTACATACAAATTGTGGTATACATTTTTATGTGCATTACCAATTAAAAGTACAAATCATGAAAAAATGTTAGGTATATACCATTTTATTTTACTCTATATATTTTTTTAAATGTTTACCATATTTTTCTGATTATCTATAGATACGTATGTATGTCAGATTGTGGAATATTATGACGCTGGTAAAAAGTATTTGAAATTCTTTTTATAAGTTCGAACTTGTTGATTTGGTTTTTTTCTAATTGTATATAGTATAATATATAAATATAATATAATATTATGTCGTATAGTATTTCTAACGCATTTTTCTTTGTCTATTTCTTTTACTATATACTTTGGTTCTGCGGTTATTTAAGTGTGGAACTAATTCTGAGTTTTGTATAGGTATATCTCGCATTGTACATTTTTTTTTCAAAACAACGATAACACAATTTGAATCTGAACTGTAGATCAAGTCGTTTAGTCTTTGAATGAAAAGCTTCAAAAGTCACAGCTATTATATTAGTTCACATAGTAGTCGTAAGTCGTTATTATTAAACAGGTAACGATGATAATATTTTAATTTATAGTTATGAATAAAATATATGATAGACCTAATAATATATACTAAAATTGGATAACCCGTTCGTATTATTTATCGTCTTTATTTTGGAGTCGCGGAATTTTTCATACAAATAATAAAGTTGTATTGTATAGGAGAAGAGATTTATTTGTAGGTAGTCACGTGTGAAGGGATTTAAATTACACAATTTTACTTTTACGCGTGATAAGTTCTGATAAGACAGATAATCATATCATATAACTGTTGTACAATCGGTGTCGTGTCCAGCTTTATTATTATAATCGCATGTTAACGYGAGTCTTGCACGGGCGCACACAGTTGATGTGGCTTGRTACACTTATATTTAAGTGKTCGAACGTGGACGCATTTTGAAATTCCTGTCCACAGTCAAAGCAGGGCCGGCTCTAGCTTCTTCAGCGCCGCCATTGCAAATATTATTTCGGCACCTTTCACCCTGTTTTCAAACATATACAAACAGGCAACCGTGCGCCCCATTGATTTTGGCGCCCCCGTGCCGTCGCACACG